TTATGATGATCTTAATTATTTTTATGCACTTACACGTTTGGCCACTGTGTTTAAAGGAACTTAATCAGTACCAAATTACATCAAATGCTCCTTAGAACACAGAATCGAACACCTTTGCAATCCATAGTCTGATTGCTGGCAAGACCTTGTTCTCTTCCTGCTGGAGTAAATTTAGTTGAATAATTTACAGTAATTCTCTATTCTAAAGTGAATCAGAGGCTATGGGCTCCTCTCTCACTAGGACGTGGCATCAGGACTGCTTGGAAATTTGTTAGTACACAATAACAGGAATTCTTGTTTCAGTAAAACCCAAGAAATATGCTGTGTACTTATAAAGACCCTTTTGTGGTGTTTTATCTATTTGATAAATTATTTATATGTAAAATTGTTCACTGTAGAGCTGTTCCTTCCAAAAAAGTAGATGTTGTCTTTAAATACTCAAGACATTAAGTGGGAAGAAAGGACTTTGCTCCCACTTCGCATTTCCACAGACATTTTTAAACTCCTCTGCTCTTCAGGCTGACAGATTTGTGCTGGTGGGAGCGACTGTGAGTGGTGGAACTGGTAACATCTGGCAATTAGGTTATAGGTCTGGTTGAAGAAATTCAGAAAGTATATAGTTAAGTGTAACATATCTAGTGTTTTAAAATTGAAAGCCATGTAGTACTATCTGATGCAATTTTAGTCAAAAAAGAAATTAAATATAAGCTTTCTGTGGATGAGAATCTCTTGCTGAGAAGGCATTCAAACCCTCCATGTGTCAGCAGGGTGACCAGAGGTGACTGTGAGCGTATGGATGTGTCTTGAGTGTGGCTCTTCAGAAAATCAGAGCTCGCATGTCCCCTAATTAGAACTCAAAGTCTGTAAGTGTTTTTGACAGTTTGGGCTTTAGGAGGTTTACCAGTGAGCCAGGTGAGAACTGTCCTTCTGCAGATGAAGGTGTTACTAAATATAATTGGTTTTCAGCCCAGAATATAGATGCTTTGCTACACAAAGAGCTATTAACAGCTGCCTTGTATAAAAATATAGATAGATAGATTCTGTTCTATTATATAGAATGTAAAAAACACCTGACAAACTAGAAACTTGTTAAATTTAGCCCCCAAAATCCACCAAATGAATAATTGTTCAAGTCATTTGGCTGAGGGGCTGAGAAATCCTAGCAGACATAGTGAGAATGATGGGAGTTTGAAGGTGGGGCTGGCCATGCTTCTTTTGATGCAGCACAGGTTCAATATAGTAAGATCTAATGCTACATTTGATTGAATCTGCAGCAGAAATGCAGTGAATGGCAAATCCAAAAGCTGTACTCCTTTTCTTTTTGAAGGACAAGGAGGATCTGGTACAGGTGGTGGTGGTGGTGGTCAGTCATGGCAGCCTTAGCCAGGGAGACAGTGCTGGAACACCTCTTCTCTTCCTGGTCTTCCCTTGTGATCATTCTCCCAGGATCTGTGCCCTCAGGTTCCCACCACACCTTTGTGCCAGGGCTTGGCCTTGTAGGTACTTTTCCTATCCATGTTTGATCTATGTAAGTAATTCAGTCACAGGCTTTAAAAACAAATATTCCTTTCCCTTGAGGTCTAATTCTTTTTGGATTAGTCAACTGCCAAACTGTCAAGCTCTATGTAGAGAACCAGCCCTGCAGCTGGAGACTGTCAGTTGCCTCTGTGGGTGAGGACCACACAAGCTAGATCAGCTGAACGGGGATGCGTGACCTCAAGTGGTATGTTGCCCTCTGTGTCACACGTATGAATTTTTTCAGTGACTCAGGCTGTCATTCAGTTACAGGTCCTTTTTTTTTTTGTTTTGGTGTGACTTAGTCGTTTTTTCTTGCTCTTCTTCATTTTATAAAATTAATTTGGCACTATCGCCAATTCAATCATATTTATGTCAACCGCTTAGAGATAATTTGTGTGGGTACTGTTATATTAGCTAAGTAATTTTATTCTGTGGTCAGATATTGTAGGGTTTTTTGTGGTACTCTTTGAATTGGCTGTTAATAGTAAAATAACATAAAAATGTGGTCACTCAAGTCCTTTTTCTAAGAAACAAAATAATTGCATTTTGAGTCCTTTTTTTTCTTTTTTCTTCTCCCAGTTGTAGCTATTCCTGGCTTGACAAATAAGCCTCATCTTCACTGTGGTTTGTGTTCTGCCTGCCTGCTTGTTGGCTATTGAGGTTCTTGGGTCTTCTGCTCCTCAGCATGGCCTCTGACCGTGACTTTGGCTTAGTATACCTCCCCGATCCTGACCTTGGCTTGTCCTTCCTCTACCTCCAAACTCATTAAGGCTGATTTATAAACCCATAATCTTGTAGATTCAGGATTTAACAGACCTTCTTTTTTGGGCCTCTGTGGTCAGACCTAACTCACCCCGGCTGGTAATCTTTTTTAAAGTTCAGTGACTTTTCCCAAGGCACAACTACTTCCTCCAGCCTCAGAGGTTCGATTAGACTCTCATATGTAAGGTATATAATATATAATCTATCCTTTAAAAAAAATTTTTTTTAGTATGTCACCTGTGAAACTATTGATTCGTAACAACTCTGCATTTTCATGGCAATTTGGCAGTGTTCTCTTCTTTAACATCTTTATTAAACATGACAAAAGATTTTGTTCTTATACTCATTATTGAAAAGATTATTCAGCCCTGGTTTGAGAGTTTTAAAGAAAATCCACAAAACACAAACTTTTGGTTAATTTTTAGTTTGAGTCCTCCAAACAGAAATACTTTATTGGTCCCAAATTACATTAGACAGGGGTGACAAATGTATTTTTATACTTGGAGAAATTAGTATGTTTTACATTCACTCTGCAACAGCTGGTTTAATCTGGCATTATATTTTTTTCAGAGCTGTGGAGGGATTTTTTTTAGCCCAACAGGATTTGTATTGATTTCTGTTTCACTTTTTTTGGTGAGGTTTATTCTTGTTTTGCTGTTATATCGATTCTGAGAGCTTTAGCCATTTGGGTTATTACGAATTTCGCTATATTTATGCTGCAATTCTACAATAATCAAGAACTTAGACCTTCACAGCTATTAAAAACAAAACACACACCCCTCAACAAAGAAACCAACCAACCCCCTCCCCCCCAAAAAAAACTGAAGTTGCATTGAGTTTCTTGGAATCTGAAGTATCTCTGAAAAGGCCTTACCATATATCTCTTTTCCCCAGATTTTTTTTTCAGGTGACATAAGGACATTAATTTATATTATTTATTAATACTTATTGGATGCTATTACTCATTCTGCTTACCTAAAATGTATATGTAGAATGCTGCTATAAACCCATGAGTTCTGTCATAATTGAGTATTTAATCCAGATGGACCAAACAACTATATAAATATGAGTCCATTGCAAAAGAGATGCAAGGATTCTTGTAAATAAAAGCAACTGTGAGTGGATAAACCCAAAGTTCAAAAATACGTTTTTCCTGGCTGATTAACCAATACACTTAGCATAAGCAAGCTCCCTTAAATGAACAAAATTATCAGAATAAACTCAGCCATCCTAGTAAATCCCAAATTTGTGTCTGTTTCCAGCATTGAAACCCAGAGACAGCACTGCTTTAGCTGTCTGTAGACACTCTGATATGCAACTGCAGCGCTTTGCAATCTGCCCTGGATTTGATCAAAGCTCACAGCAGCAGTTGCCCAACTTTAAAAGAATCAGATGGTCCCACAGAAGTCGGAGGGACTAAGTTGTTTAAAGTTAAGCACATCCTAAGAGGATCTGTCTTAGGGAAGAGACAAAAAAAAGCCCTTATAAGGATGCCAGCTCCAACAGCACTGGTTATTAAGAATGATAATTCCAGCCTCTTGGAATTATCCTAGTTAGCCCAGTGGATCAGAATGCTCTTTTATACCAGTGCTGCAGATCAAACCTTGCCAGACTTCAAACTGCAGCTGAATCCCAAGAGGAAAAAACTTTCTCCATCGCAGGCAGAATTTGGTCAGCTTCCAAAAGCGATTTATTCCTCCCTTCTTAATAAAACATCTTTTGCAGTTTTATGTGTGACAGACACACTCTGTAGCTTGGAGAGCTCTGGGTGTGCAAAAACTAGTGAAGAACAATTATCCATCCCGTCCTCCATGTGGGAAGCAGATTGAGAATTATCTCCACCCGTGGTTGGACGTGGTGAGACAATGGCCACAGAGTGGGCTGTGGCTGAGCAGAGTCAACGTTTTTACATGGTCCTGTTGTGAGCACCTGAATCATAATGTCATTTCTTACAGTGGGGTTGGGAACTGCTGTAGCAGCTATACATCCTGCGTGCTTGAATGAGCAGGGTTCCTTATTCAATGGAAATTCTTCACTAATTCTCTAGAAATGTGGACTTTTCCACTAGGATATGGTTTTAACTTTGTTGTCACGTGCTGAAGCTCTGTATTACTGTACTCGGTATTTTGTGGAGTGCGGTAGAGGAAGAAACGAAGGCTTCTGATGTGATCAGAAGACAAGTGCTTAGTAATGGACTGGCTTACCATCAGTGGAGGCATCTACCGAGCAGTAGATTTGGAAACTTCTCTGGGCTGTCACGCAGTATTGCTGGAGTTGAGCTGGAGAGAGCTTGTTACAGAACTGCATTGTCAAGATATAAACTAAAGAGCTGTAGCTCCTGTTAAGTGTTTGTTAATGGTAATAGCAGTCTTCCTCTCAAATAAGACATCACTGTTGTAAAAATAGGAGAGTGTTCATTCTGAAAAATAGTCCATAGTGAACAGAGCTGGTAATACAGGAATTCAGCTGTAAGTGTAGTGGTCCATGGGCAACAAAGAGCAAACTGAAGATGGATAGCTCTTGAACTTGAGGATAAAACACAAAACCCGCACCACTTTTTTAAAATGAATAAACTTTTATTTTAATGAAAAGTAAAGGGAGATACAAACTGTGGTTTAATCAAACAAAAAAAGAAAAAATAGAAGCAAACCAATAGAGCCTGAGCAGAAAGGTTTTAAGAAGACTAACTTCTGTGACACTCCATATCATATACCACATATTCACTTGTCTGAAGACTTTTTTTGTGATAGATTCTGGAAAAGAGAAAGAATTGAATTGTAGAAAATGAAATCTAATGAGTTCAAGTGCATTCTTTACAGAGACATTTTTAAACGAGCTGGGTATTTTTGTTTCTAAAGTTTGACAAGCATGATAAAATTAAGGGATAAAGTACAAATAAGTTACATTCCTCCAACAGAAATTTGAACCTGATCATAAAAGTGAGTAACAGGAATTTCCCACGGCTGTTATTGTGCTACTGATGCTAGTGGCAGCTGCAGCGTCATACAGCCCATTCAGGGGCTCTGAAATGAACTTTTAAAAGCCCTTTGTTTCCAAAAATGGGACTTCAAAATATTTTTTATCTTTCTATTGTTACAAAGACTGACAATCAAGAAATTGACATTTAGAGAAAAAACACATTTTAATAAGTTTTTGTAAAGAATTTGTGATTGGACAAAATAAAATACTACATAAAAGCATGCTATTATAGTCCTATTTCTCCATATTCCCATCTTCCATTTAACTGACAGCTGGAGATAAAGATTAATTTAGCTCCTAAATGCATAATCTTTTGCATCTTTCAAGAAACTAATGATTAGTACTAGTCCCCAAATAGGTCTTTCTTGTGCTAAAAATGTATTTTTTAAATTCTTTTCTATGCTTTCCTTTTCCCTGAGAAATTATATTCCTGGACATTTGGAAATAATAGGCTAAAACAAATGAGAATTGAAGTGCACCTGCAATGCAAGGATGTTTCGCTGTCTCCATAGTATAAAAAATGCTTATCTAAAACTGCTCCTAATCATCTTAAATTACACCTTTAAAACTAAAATTATCAAGCACTTAAAATACATAATGAAAATGGCATACCATTTGCAGAATTTCAATTTCTGTTCGAAGAGTCTCACAGATACTTTCCCAATCATCATCTTTGCAATTTTCCAATTCTTTCTTAAGCCTGTGTCCGAAAACAAATAAATTTTCGGATAAGAGAACTGTTGCTTCAGTAACTACTTTTTCCAGCTTTGGTCCCAATTGTCAATTTGATTTATGTGAGAAAACCCTCATTGATCTATTTACATGATCAGGATTTAAGTTTGCTGGTTTTGTAATTGGCATAGATATGCTGCTCTCCTGAAATATCTCTGGGTTTCATTCAGCCCTGGCAGATGGGATGGCAACATGAGGAACTTCAGAAAATGATAGTTTGGGTTTTTACAAAGTATATCTTGACTAAGTACTTTGTTAGACAAATTTCTGGACCATGTTGTTTTCATAAACTGTGAAAGATTTATGGCCTCATTAGTCATCATTTTCCTTATTTAAACATGTGAATTTGAATGTTGATACTTGGGAAGTACCATATGTCACTGTTCTTACTTTCCCTGGGTATCTGCTTGTAGCTGCTGGTGGAGACAGACTCTTGGCTTGGACATGTCCTCTGCCTGACCCTGTGTGGCCATTCCCCTGCGGTCACTGCTCCGTACCCCTCCACAGACCCTTTGCTGGGGCTGCTGTTCTCTCCTCACTGCTCCTGTTACTCCTCAGCACTTACAGACTGTTGCCCAATAGTCTCAGCCAGGAATTCTCCAACTTCTCTATGATAAATACTAATTTTAACATAGTCATTTTTGCATTCAAAAAAGCATTGACCATTTTTTTCAAGATTATATGATATCCCCAATGGCACTAGTAGCAAGTATCTGTAAAAAATATAATTTAAAACTATTTGTAATGTAAAATATTGGTAGCTTAACATTGAAATCTGTTAGGAAATCAGCATGGAGCCAGCGCCATGCAGGGAGCTACCCCTGGATCCACAGGAAGTGGTCAGCAAAAGAAAATTGCAGTGTGTGGTTTGGTTTTCCTAAATGGGTGGAGGCAATGGCTGTTGTGTGGTTTGGTTTTCCTAAATGGGTGGAGATAGTCATAGCGGCAATGGCTGTAGGGATAGAACCTTCTTTTGTCTCTTTGAGGCACAAAGCAGGTTTTACAAACAGTTCTTGGCTAATTTTTGCTAAAAGTATGGAAACAATTGACAAAACAAACTTCAGCAACAGGATACTCAACTGTTGCAGCTCCTGAATGAATTCACTGTAGCTTCTCTACAAATGTTTCCACAGAATGAAAAAAGGCAAAAGAATAGACTTTACCTAACACTGTCTACAAACCAAGCTCACAAGTTTGGAGTTTTGAGAACCAGAAAAACGTAGTTTAATTGGAAAATAACCCTCTATAGAAAAAGGCTTTCCAAGGGAAATATCAGTGTTGGGAAATGTGTAAGACATTAGTCCTGCTAAAAGATGACACCTGAATTTTGCACATCAATGGCTGTAGTGGTTTAAATTAATACTCGGAAGGCCAAGAGGAATCTATGCCAGAGCTTTTAGTGGTCTGATAAATACAAGGTGATGAGATTATACTGAGTCTTTCCATGGCTGTCAAAAGAAAAGCACAATGAGAAAGCAGAAGTTGCTTACCCTTAATACAGTTTCAGCAAACAATGTGAATATTCTGGGACACAAAGACAGAGTGAAAAAGGAGGAAAATTATATATTCTGCTTCTCATTAAATAGGTAAACTGATGCATCAAAGCAGGACCCTGTTTATTCTGAAGTTGAAAGAGGAGGTAGCAACCATTTTTTCTTTCATATACTACAGTAGGGAGCAAATTATTTATCTGTAGAAAATGCACCACTTTAGCTGTCCTACTGAAGATAGAGTTTGTTTTCCACACAAGAAAATGGCTTTATTAAAAGTAAAAATATAGCTTCATATGTGAGGAATAACTTAGTCACCATGTGGCATTAGAACAGTAGCATAAGACTGGACAGTAAGTTGGTTTTGCTGTTCCTATGGAAAATGTAAATATCTGACCATCAATATGGAAACAGTATGAGGTCTGTGTGTTTGTATTACACAGGAGTAAATGCCTCTTCTTTCAGAAGTATTTCTCCTGCATTCATAATACATACAAGTGTTCAAACAAAAGGAAATTTTGAACTACACTTTAAGAAATTAAATATTCACTGTACTGTAGTACATTGTTTGCTTACAGACCATTTTCATTGAGAAGAGTTCATTTCAAGGTCTAAGATCAGCTTCTGATCTTGATTAAATCAGTTTAACTTCAGTGCTTTGCCTTATTTCTTTTCTCTACGTGTTCTCTGTTAGCGTGATATTAGAACCCTAATTTATTTAAGACAAACAAAAGCTCTACTTTGCCTAATTTATTTTAGAAAGAGACATGTCTGTTAATCTTAGAGAAAATGCTCTCTCATTGTCTTCCACACTGTAAAAGCGATGCACAGTCTGTTGGCTAGTTGTCAGCTGAGAATGATACCAGTCCATGTTAGGTGTACTCTAAGGAGAGAACAACTAGAAGATAAGCAGTAAAAGTTGCTTATCTGTGTCTTGGGATTGTGAATTAATTACTATTGATGATGTGCTTTGAAACTGTAATGTTTTGCGTATGGATTTTAAAATTTTATTTAGAATATTTTATAAAACTTTTAGATGTGGTGACAGCACAACTCCTTACATAGCATGGGGTAGCGGTGATAAAAGACATTCATTCAAATGTGGTGTTTAATTTTTACATTAATCAATTGATTCTGCTTTCAGGTCTTCCTTCTTTCTTATTTAGAAGCTAGATAATTACAGTATGTGCCAGGAATATTACACTCAGAAAACAAGGGCTGTCTGTTAGGTTACAGTCTCCACAATTAATGCATCGGAGACGCCTGAGTTACTGAATAAATGATGAAGTTTTACCAGAAGGAATGTGAGACAATGGAACTATTAAAAAAAAATGCTTAACCTGGAAGCAGATTTAGCTTTTTCATTTTACATTTGAGATAAGCACTATATTCATATTCATCTTTCCACTATCAGATAGAATGTGCAAACCAATTATTCATGCAACTATACTGTCTAGATGGAGGGCAGGTTTTCTGTCACCTTCGGAAACATAAAGAGACGTTCCTTTTGCCAGACCAAGGATTAATAAGACAATTATACCCTCCTTACGACTATGATAAAAAGTAAACCTCTTAAAAAAAAAAAAGCAGTAATCTGAAAAATCATGCTAACATTTGGCTATCTCTGTCCTTTGTTTTTATCTTATTTTTAGCATTTTGCTCCCTTTGATGATAAAAAAATATATCTTTCAGAAAAGTCATTGTGCCAATTAACATTGTGTTGGTAAGGTGCAGCATCACAAGCAATGGGCTCTAATGAGCAGCTGGAGTTGCAATGCCATATTTGTGAAAGGAGGCTTGACTGTTCCTTTGAAAAACATTCAAGAGCAAAAGCAATAGCAAAACCCAGCCTTAAATCAAGCAGAAGGGACAACAGCCTCAGCAATTTTTGGGATGCCAGCTTGCCCTAGACTGAGGTCTGCTATCAGTGGTCCATTTTCCATTACTCTTGAATGCCAGAAGCGACAAAGAGATGAAGAAGGAGGAGATCACTGAAGATGATCGATTTTGCAGCTTTGAAATGAGCACAGCTATTAAATGTCATTGGCATTTGTGGTTGATACGCACTCTTCTTGAATTTCAGCTGTATATGCAGAAGGCAAATAGGAAAAATAATTGTCAAATCAATACATGCTGGTATTATGAATTGACCTATGATGAAAATAATGTTATTGTCAAACACATTTCTCCAAAAATCATCCACAGATTCATGTTACCGGATAAAGACTTCAGTAGCCCAAAATTGCATTCCAGAAATAATTGTATGCAAAGAGTTCTCAAACAAGAAATAGTTTGTGCAGAAGGCAGGGGGAATATGTGTTTTTAGAGCCTTTTTTTTTTTTTTTTTTTTAAAGTGGGGATGGAAGCCTCTACCTGGTTATTGTTGGAATAGCAGAAAGAGCAGACTGTCTCTTGGTTAGGTTTTGCTGAGGCAAGTAAAGCATTTTTTCTTATTTTCCTTCTTGTCTTTGCCTTGTTTATGACTGCCATTTTATTTTTTAACCATAAATACAAGGAACAACATTAGAGTGTATTATAAAACGGAATGGCTTGATGCTGATATACAGGGCATAGAATTTATGGTACAAAACAAAGTTCCCTAAGAAGTTATATGTAAACTTGAGAGCATGTGTGTTGATTTTCCTGCATTTTATCATAAAGGTCAGGAGAAACGGTTATCAAGGTTGTAAAACTTTACTGAGATTGGAGAAAAGTATAGAAGTCTTCAGTTTATTGTCTCAAGCCGAAGCAGAGCTAACGTGTTGGGGTTATTCAGCCTCAGCTCAGTACTGAATTAATGCCTATGTTTCTATAGCAAGAGCAAGATTTTGCTGGGTTTCTACACTCTGCTGACACTACTAAACACAAAATGCTATTGATACAGCCAAAGAAGTCAATAAATTTCAGACTATTATCTATTGATTGAGGAAGGGACAAAATAAGTCCTGAATGGAATTCAGTACCTCAAAATATAAAATCAAGCACCTGAGTTGAACAAATAAATTATAAAAGTATGTGCTTGATGGAGTAGAAATAGAATAAAAATTAAGAAAGTGAACTAGTAATAATTATAAACGCTAGCAAGAAGATGAAACATGAAAGGCAAAGGGGTACTAGGGTACATAATTATGGGAATTAAATGCAAATTAAAATAAATAGAAATACCTTAGTTAAAATAAGAAAATTTCAGCTTTTACTGTTCTGGATCAAATGCTGATTGTAAAATACATAATTATCATTGATTAAAGCTTGCGTTTTGTGAATGCTATCAGGCAAGTATTTATAGAAGTAGTTATAGGTCTTGAAAAGTGTGTTGGTTTTGGTTTTGTTTTTTTTTTTTTTAATGTATGTTCCCCAAATACATAAAACATCACAAGACATCTTTAAGGAGTATATTATTATAGATGAATAAGCATGGAAAGCTTAAGGCACACTGAATTAAACTGCACATTTAGGATTAGATTTGCTTTTGTGCAGA